CTAGCCAGAACTGAAAGGAAGACTGGGGTCATCACAGTGGTGGGTAAGAAAGTCTCAAAAGAAGCAGAGGAATATTGTGTGTTACATTGGTGCTATACTGGGCCCTGTTTGACTCATCCCTTCCTTGTGACCCTTCTGTGAGAAGATGTCCTATTTTTGATTTCCAATTGTGATTTGTAAAGATGTTTTCTAGTATCTTGGTTTTCTAAATGTATTGATACTTTCTGTGTTATCTAAGTGTTCTCTATTTTGCCTCTCTAATTTATAATAGCCATTACAATGACTATACTGAACTCACAGACATTATTCATGATTAAACTGTTCATTAAGGAAGTTAACAAGTGAGAATTTCTCATGGTAGAATTGTTTATCAGGAAATGTTATGAAGTTCTTCCAGCTTTGTTAATAAGTGTTCAAAGAGGCATACCACGCCACTGGAAGCTTCAACTTGAAGCTATTCAGCTCAAGTTTCATAAATCAGAAAACCCAGTTCTCTGAATTAAGTACCCAGAGGCACCTCACCCCTCTAAATCTCAGCCTGAAGACACTTAGCTCCACTTCTGTGATTCAGCAAGCCCAGGTTCCCATTTATGTGCCCATTGGTACTCCACTTTGTAAGCCAGTCTTCATGACAAAAGCATTCAGCATTACTTGTTCTGTGAGTTCAGAAGACCACCAGTCTGATCCATGCTGTGACTCCTGGTTTTCCACTGCTCCTCTTTTATAGCTATAATTGCACAAGGATCTCAGATCCAGGGGACATACTTCACTCCTGGCTCTTGCTGGAAATGAGATCCCTCTTCCTCCTGCTTACCAGAAAGCTCATTTTATACACAGCAGGACATCATTGCAGGGAATACTTCCTATTCACAATCACTCACAGGCAAATCCCTTCTTTCCAGACCCATGCTGGAAAAGGTCATCTGGTGAGAGCTAGAACCCTAATGATATTGTGGTTAAGTGTTGGGCTGCAAACTACATGGTCAGTTGTTCAAAATCACCAGCAGCCCTGTGGGAGAAAGACTGAGGTAGCTATACCTGAAAACAGTTACAGTACTGGAAGTCCCCAGAGGGTCACTAGTGTCAGCATTGACTCAGTGGCAGTGAGGTTTCTTTTCTTTTTTTTAAAAGAGGCTGGTAGAAAAGTCACTTTAAATAATTCACTGTCCTTACACTTGCCTTGTATCGTAACATCTGATCTATTCTGAAATACATTCATGAGCACATGGAAAAATGTATTTTTTGTTGTTGTTGAATGAAATGTTTCGCAAATAGTTAAGAGATAAAGTTGATTAATTATGTTGTTTAACTTTTGAATCTTTGCTGATTTTTTACTGATTATGTCTTTCCTCAAAAGTGATGTATTAATATCTACTACTGATATTGTAGCATTGTCTATTTTTCTTTTCAAATCTGTAAGTTTGGTTAACATATTTTGAGTCTTTCATTGGGTACATGAATGCTTATTGTGATTATGACTTATTGTTAAATTGTGGCTTTCATCATTATACAATGGCCTTTGTATCTCACGATGCATTTATAATTTCAGAAATTAATATTGCTAATTATGCTTTTTTAAAACTACTGTTAATTTTTATTTTTCCCCATAATTTGATTTTTAACTTAGTTGTAGATTTATATCTGGGGTGTGTTTCTTGTAAGTAGCATATTGATGGGGTTCTGGTGGTATAGTGATTATATGCTTGGCTGATACTCAAAAGGTCAGCAGTTCAAAACTACCAGCATTTCCACAGGAGAAAGATGAGAATTTCTACTCCCACAAAGCATTACAGTCTTGAAAACCCACAACGGCAGTTTTATACTGTCCTATAGGGTTACCATGAGGTGGAATCAACTGGATGGCAGTGAATTCATTTTTAAGAGTTCACTTACCCATTCTACTAGCCTCTATCTCTTAATTGATGAGCTTAATCCATTTCCATGCCAAGTTGGAATTAATATGTGCAATTTTGTTGCTGTAATTTTACTGTAGTTTTATGGTGCTATTGGTTACTTTGTTCATTGTAATTTCTGTTGATTTCATTTAGGTTTGGGATTTTCTTGTCATTTTTTTCTTTGTTCTTTTTGTTTTTATCTTATTAGTTAGTAGTTTTTATGGTTTTCCTCATTTTATTTTGTTGAAGTTTTATCATTTTCTGTGGGATTAAAAAAATACTTCTTTCCAAAATTAAGTCATTGTGTTGTCTTTTGTGAACCACTCTATTACTTCACCACTCATCTATTTAATAACTAGTCTGTCCTCTATACTTTATTTTTTTCATTGAAGAATATTACATCTGATTTTCTATTTTGAATCTTGTAATTTTGTTTCACTTTGTATATTACTTGAGTAGGATGATTTCTCCAGAGTGTCTTTTATGTTAATTTTAAGTAGCTGCCTGCTGTTGTTGGCTATAGGATTCTTGGGTGGCAGTTCTTTTCTTACAAAATTTGGTATACACTGTTCCATTGCCTTCTTGCTTGTGTGATTTCCTTTGAAAATATTTGAAGTCCTATTTCTATGATTGCCTTTATCAGTGACTACTCTTTCTCCCCAAACTTGATCTCAGTATTGTTTCCTTTTCATTGATATCAAAAAGTTGGCTGTGTTGTGTTATGGTGATTTTCTTTGGTGATTAATTCTGCTTGGGGTTATTTGGACTTTTTGAATGTTTTTTTCCTGTTCTGACATAACGTTAAAGAAGTTGCCTTCTAATATTTCTTGCATTATTTTCTCCGTGTTTCTTTTCTTCCTGTCCAGAAATGTTTATCAAACATAAATTGTTCCTACTGATATTGTCCCATAGAATTCTTAGGTTTTACTCAGATTTGGGGGGGGGGGTAATTATTTTTCTTCTTGCATTTTGGTCTCAAGATATTTATCTTCAAGATCACTACTGTGTGCTTCCATTGTTTCAATTCTACTGTTTTGTTCTTTTAGAATGTTACCCAGTCCTAATATCTTAGTGTTTGTTTTCTGGATTTATATTTGGACTTGTGGAAATTATTTCTAGCTTTTCATTTATTTTGTTAGATTATTATTTTAGTACTTTTCTGACTTCTTCTTTTTCTTCGATGTTGTTTTCCCCTTTCTGTGTTATATTTCTCCTCCAGCCATCTAAAGCAGATGAAGATCAGTGTTCTAAACTCCATTATGTGATGATCCAAAAGCCTTTCCCTATCTGAGATCTATCCTGGGTAGATTTCTGCATGTAGGCCACTTGATGGTACCATCTTTTCCTGTTTTCTCATATGAACATAAACTGCATTTGTTTCTGAGAAATGATGTTGTTTTTTATTTCTTTTTTATTGTTCAGGTAATAAAAGAATGATTAATATTCTCTGTGCACTTTCTATCATTCTTGAAGGGTCAAGAGTGGCTGGCTTGTGTAGCAATAGGCTGTTCTGAGCTGTATTTGACGACAATAAAAAGGTAAATAAGCATATTCTGTCAAGATCCCAGTCATAAATTCAGAACTGACATGTTTTAGGTAGTAAAGGCCAAAGACCAATATAGCTTTCATGGAGGGAGAGAAAAGACACTATCAAAAACACTTTTTTCTCTTACCTAACTTATTTTCTCTGAATCTGAAATTACTGACTGTGAACCTAACAGTGGACTGTGTCTCTTTAAGTGTTGGGATTGAACAGTTGAGGAACTTCAAATTCTCTGAAGCTAATTTTCCCTGTGCTAGTTCAACAAATTCACCCTTCTCCAATCTTGCCCTCCCCAGGACAGGCTCATCACCAATATGTATGCCAGGAAGAGGTGCCATTGTCCTCTGTGGGATTAGTTTAAGTCTCAGGGCCCAGGCAGGTGGAGAGAGAACAGTCAGCTCACCTGTTCCCCTCTTTCAACACAATGGACCCATGTACTAGGAAAAGGGGCCACTTGGGGCACCTACATGTGCTGAGAGAGAACCGTCAATTCTCTTTTATCCCTCTTCTGATGTCTCAGACCCAGGTATTGGTGAGAGGGATTGCTAAGGTTTAAGCAGAAGTTGCTGAAGTATTGATGAGAGGGGTCTTTCTGGCAGCATCTTGTTGGGGTGGTCAAACATATGCTATCATTTTGGCGCATTTGCATTACACATCCTCTCTGTGAACTCCCAGGCTGTGCCTGCCCAGATCTTTGTTCTACAGGAGATATTTATAATGCAATCTTGCTTATTTTCTGCTTATTTAAAAAACCTTGTTCAGAAACAGAAAATACGGATCATTTGGCTAGATAGCCTTGTTGCCCCATCCCTCCCAAGTTTTGTTTTTATTTTTATCTTTTAATTCCGTTTTCCCATAATATTTTTGTAGACCCCTTTTATATCTTTATGTAATTGATATATTTAATTTTCTTGGTCCCAAGGCTAAAATTTATATCTATTTAATTGTCAAACTCCCAAAAGTGTTAGCTATGTTATTTTCAGAGCAATGAAATATAACTCATAAAGGAGTTGACAATAACAGCAAATCACAAGCATCAAAAAGTCAATAGTTTAATATATCAATGTCATTGTAATATATTAGAAGATAATATATACAAAGATATAATTTGTGAACAAAATATTAGGCAGCCAAAGCTCTTACCTAAGCTAAAACCTTATATGCATTTTATGAATCTTTTGAAAATAAATATATTGCCAAAACAACATTGTAAATATAGAATGAAATATTAGATAGGCAAAGTACATAGAAACACAAGTAATACATACAATGACCCTTTAACCAAGTATAGTTTATTCATTTGGAGATAATTTCACACTATTTGGCATTACAAAATGAAGAAAATAGTCCCATTATAGTTTGTAAACAGACTATAATGTCCATAGTTTGTTTAAGGTCCAAGAGATTTCCTCTGTCAGATCATATATTAGGAACATGAAAGTTAATATCTGATTGACAACATGTAAACAAAACAAGCATAATAATTTTAATAATGTATTTATTAATATATTAAATTTATATAGATGCTGAGATCTCCTGGAAGAGATGTGTGTGAGCTCCATTTAACTTCTAGAGACATTGAGCAACTTTTGAGAACAGAGGATTTTCTTAATGGCATCTTTCATGTCTTTGTTCCTCAGACTATAGATTATAGGGTTGAAAAATGGAGCAAGGACAGCAAACATCAGTGCAATGGCCTTGTCCAGTAGTGGTGGGAAAGTGACAGAGAAGCGCAAATACATGAGAGCTACACTGCCAAAAAAGAGCAAGAAAATTGTAATGTGGGCTGCACAAGTGGAGAATGCCTTCTGACGGCTCTCACCTGATGGAATCTTCAGGATCACAGTGATGATTCGTAAATAGGAAAGGGTGATGATGGAGACAGAGGTCAGGATAGAAATAGCATGGATTATATCCTCAATAATAATCATGGATGTGTCTGTACATGCCAAGTTCAGCACAGGTTCAAAGTCACAGAAGAGTTGATGGATTTGGTTAGGGCCACAGAAGGGAAGGGTGGAAATCCACACGATCTCTGGCAGTAACATAAGGAATCCAAAGATGCATGAGCCAGTGGAGAGCTGACTGCACAGCCGAGGGGTCATAATCACTGCATAACGGAGGGGGTTGCATATGGCAACATACCTGTCGATAGCCATCACTGTTAAGACTAGGGCTTCTGTGACCCCAAGTGAATGGAAGAAATACATCTGCAGAAGGCAGCCAATGAAGGAGATGGTCTTCTGTTCACTGATTAAGTTGGAGAGCATCTTTGGAATGGTCACTGTTGTGTACCAAATCTCCAGGAAGGAGAAGACACTGATAAAATTGTACATGGGATTATGGAGACGAGTATCTAGCCGGACAGCAAAGAAGATCATAAAATTTCCAACAATGATGAATACATAAATAAAGAATAAAGGGATGAAGAATAAAAGGCCACCATTATCAAATTGAGGGAAATCAGAGAAATGAAATTCAGTCACCATACTATGATTCTCTTGATCCATGTTTTCAGATGTTTCATTTGTTGGCTGATGGAATCAAATGCAAACAGTCATGCTTCAAAGGTGAACTAGAAACTTCCTCTCTGCCTATTCAACAGCTCTGAAATAAAGTTGATTAAATTAAATATTCTAAAACATACTACACGTATTGCTTTGTTTTAATTTGCAAATTTTAAAGTATTGTTTTGCTTTGCAAATTTTAAAGTGATATTGGCAACTAGTTTGGGTAAGTATTTCATATTCTGGTAAATGTTGAAGGAATGGGCAGTGTCAATGGTGGTGTCTAAAGGGGACAACAGGAATAGAAAGAGAAGAAGTAAATAAGAAGGGGATGAAGTAGGTCCAGTATACTTAAACCTACATGAGTGATAGGAACAACTTGGCCCCACAGTCTATGCTACAACTATCTACCTGCCCATCAAAAGAAACATGAGAGCCTGTACACAGAGCCATATCCTCAGACTCACTTGCTTGTATCCTACCCATGCTGCAAGAATCTGGGTTTGAGATCTTTAAAACCATTATTAAAAAGAGGAACAACAAAAGCTCACTGCCATCAATTTAATTCCAACTCATGGTGATCCTAAAGGATAGAGTACAATTGTCCCTGTGTGTTTCTGAAACCATCTGTCAAGGTTTCCTATAGTGGATGACTTAGCCTCCTGGAGCTACAGGAAACATCCAGGGTTCTGCAAAAGCAGATACCTACACTTTATCCTGGATAAAGTTTTCAACTGCCATGGAGTCCCTGAAAAACAGATGGACAGTAGGCCAAATAACTTTAGAAACCTATGCACAAGAGTTGAAAATCTCATGCTTCTTCTACAGAGCAGCTGGCTGGTAATTTTGAATTGTTGGATTTGCAGTTATCAGGCCAATATGTAACCCACTAGCATCAGGAGAGGTTTCCTTTATTAAAAATTAAATTAAAAAAACTTTATTGCTCAAATGGAGCTAAAGAAAATGTACCTAATGTGTGTATGTGTGTTAATCTGTTTCCTAAAGGTTGTTCATAAGGGTTAATCAACATTTGGACAACTTTAACAGTAGTCTTTAATCAGAGCCAAGTTTTATAAGTGTTAACTACCCATATCTTAATCAACATAATCTCAAAACTAACTGCCATCAAGTGGATTCTAATTCATGCCCCTGTGGGTTTCAGAGATTGTAATTCTTTACATGAGTGGTAAACTTTGTACCTTTCCCTCTCAGGGCCTGGTCCAGGGTTTGAACTACTGATCTAGGTTTAAGCACACTTTGCAAAAATTGTGAAAGTCTCAGCCTTCAAACCCGATGGAATGCAGTTCTATTCTGACATTCACCATGGTTTTCTTCAAGTAGCATGGAGCACAGCCTTTAGCTTCAGGATTATTAACATTTCAAACTGGATGTCTCCTTGCTAGAGAAAAGGAAGATGTCCTGTGCGTAGTAGAAGGATCAACATCATTCCTCACCTAATTGAGAACCGCTGACACAGAGAATATTAGAAATACATCTGTGTTGGTGAATAACAGGGTGTTGAAGGTGTGTGAATTGCCTAGAAATATATCTACATCTTCACTTGAGTTGATAATGAGAATAGAATGTGTCAAGAGGTCTATAAAGCTTTGGAAGAGGCCCCAGGATCTATTTATTCCTGTGTTCTTCCTTAAAGATTCAGCACCTAATCTTACCAGAATTTCCCTTTAAACAAGTGATATTTTTGTTATTATTATTCATTGTTATATTTCATTAACTTTATTAACTGCAGAAAGCATACAAAATAGAAAAACATAGGACTTAAATGAGTTCCTAAGAAGAGGTTTTATAATGTTTTGGCTTGTATGTGCATATGTGGGTGCGTGCATGCTTATCTACTAAACATCTTTGTGTGTATGTCAGTATTATAACACTTGCTCTTATTGTATTAACTATTTGATAGAGAAGGTACTGGAAATGGCAACTCTAAAGGGAGGAACCCACTGATAACTACCAAAGAGTTAGACGTGTATAAGGCCAATAGATAGTCAATAGGTAACATTATTTTGAAATCTGAGTGTGAACAGCTTTCCATAAACAGAAATTCAGCTTGGCACGTGGCAGCCCATTTTTCTATGTTTCTTTTTTTATTTGTTTGTTTAAAAATTGATACAACATATTTAATCTATCCTGAAAAAGCAAAAATATGAAAGGCAAAATATCTTTCAGTTTTCCTTTGCAAAAACATCTATCTAGAAAACAGGGATTCACAAGGTGGAAAAATATCAATGCTCTGATAATTTTTGACTGAGTTATTCTTAAGTGAACTTGTTTTCAAACTTGTCTTGGTCCAATCCATAATCTACTCAGCTACCCGCATCATCTTTCTAAATGAAAAGCTGTCAATTCTCTGTCAAGAAATCTTATAATGGTCCCGAGGAACTTTCAGAATAAAATCTGAACTCATAAGCATGGCAAAAATGTGAAATATATGAAACAGTTGACATAATTTTTACATCTCCAATGCCTTTTAGCTTTATTATTTTGATTCTATTTTCCAAGTTTGATGGACAATAATACCCTTAGAATGTTTATGATTCCTCTTTCAGAGGCAGTTGGGAGATGAGTAGGAAAATGCACTTAATACTTATTTGTCGGTACTTTTTGGAACTAGAAAAGGAAACAAACAAACAAAAAAGGAAAAATTGACAAGTTTTAAGAACCAAGAACTTGTGTCTTTAAGAAGGAAAGAAGATGCATTTAGGAAGGCAATTTGATGCAGATACTTACGCCCAAAATTATATATAACATACCACCTCCTATGTTTACAGAGAGAGGATAGTCCTGAGTTTCAATGAGTAAGCTCCACTGGTTTTCCTGGAATTCCTTTATTTATAAGAATTATTCCTTATTTCACTAAATAAAAGAATTGCAACCTAGAAAACAGCAATAAGTGGAGGAGAAAAAAATGACAAGGCTGATGGTCTAGACAAAATATAGTAGATAATTTCTCCAGAAAACACCATCTCTTTCCCTAGGAAACAGATTTCCCAAAGCCCCCTGCCTTGCTGTATAGCAGTTTCTTTTTTGTTGTTATTTTCCTTCCTTCCTGCAGTGGGATAAAGATGAGACTTTTCACTACTGTAAAGATTTGTGGTTTCAGAAACCCTAAGTTCTACTCTGCCCTACAATGTCATTAAGATTTGGAATTGACTTGATGGTAATGAGTTTAGTGTGGCGCGCTCACCTGGCCTCAGAAACCAGGAATTCCACAAGTGTATCTTCATTTAAGTACAACAAATAAATTATGATCTTCCACAATATATAACAAAAGAAGGCAATCACCCCTACCTTAATATACAGAACCAAGCCCTGACTCCACACTCACCTCTAGCTGAAACTGAGAGGGCCTCTTCTTGTTTCCCAAGTGTCTTCATCATTGCTCTGTACTTCAATATGTAAGAAGGTTGTAATCACAACTCTCTGATTCTCAGGGAATAGCACACTAGGAGAAACGGTTTCTTCTGACAGGTCCTTCCACAATGCCTAAAGGAAATAAACTACATCCCCCATGTGGTTAATTAGGAGAAAATATGCTGCCATGTTCCCATGTATGAAGCTGCCACACTAAAATGAAGTCAGCCTCTAAGTCAGGTCAGAAATCAGACGAAGGCAGAAACTTGATTTTTCTTTTTGCAAAAGGATTAAAGAATGATTAATCTACAAGGTGCCTACTGGGATTGGAAGGATACTGAAACACCCTAGGCGTCAAGTTAAAACCATAACTCAAAGGCAGAAGAATCTTCTCCCCTATTCATTGAAGCAACTTCGGATTAGTTCAGTACTAACACAGCACAGCTGTGATGACTATTATAGACGATTCTGCCAGCAGCTGGCCAGCTCAATCTGTTCAGAAAGATCCAGGGAATTACTAGGCACTACCAGCAGTGGTGGTAGGGATAAGGGACTCTCAATTCCCAGTGCCAAATGCCCCCAGGGAGCTGGACTCAGGATGTGAGGGCAATCTTTTTTGCTACATGAAAGCTGTATTGATGCGCAAATCTGAGTTAGCTCCTAAAGAGACCTGTGATTTGAAAAGTCCCCCAAATAATGAATAGGGAATATAACCATCAGAATACATTTTTCCTCTTAAAAAGAGATTGGGACATACAGGTGCACAAAACTCGAGAGAGAGAAAAATACAGCAAATGTTATTATTTTTCTTTCCTTGCAGAAAGAGGTGCACAGAGGCACAACATTTAACTATCTAATGAAGTAGATAAGAAGTCTTCTGTTCTAAGTAACATTCTATCTGTACTTCTTCCAAATAAGATGTTTGTCTATCTGGCAGTTTGTGGTATTTTCAATATCTTTTCCTAACCCCATAATTCATAAATATCACATTTTCTTTCATCTTCCTGTCTCGCTATCACGTGCATCTGAGGTGATTGAAAATACCATAGCTTGCATCTGCTGCACCTTGGTCCTAAAGGTGACATTTTTTGTTCTTTAACATTTTAGGGAGTTCTTTGACAGCAGATTGTCCAATGCAATATGATGTTTTGTTTCTCAACTGCTGCTTCCATGAGCATTGACCTTGGATCCAAATAAAAAGAAATCTTTTACAAATTCAACCTTTCCTCTGTTTTCACAATATTGCTGATTGATCCAATTGTGAGGATTTCTATTTTCTCTATGGTGAGGTCTAATTCATACTGTGTACTGTACTCTTGATATTCTTCAGTGAGTGCTTGAAATCTTTGCTTTCAACAAGCAGGATTGTGTCATCTGCATATTGAAACTTGTTAATGAGTCCTCCTCCAGTCATTAAGCAGTGTTCTTTTTCATATAGTTCAGCTGGTGGCGTAGTGGTTGTGTTGCTCTGTGACACACATGGTCAGCAATTCAAAAGTACCAGCAGCTCCGTGGGAAAAAGACTGGCCTTTCTATTCCTGTAAACAGTTTCAGAAATTCACAGGGGTCACTATGAGTCAGCATTGACTTGAGGGCAGTGAGTTTCATTTTACACACACACACACACACACACACAC